AACACCTGAACGCACCACACAGACAACAGTTACAGAAACACCTGAACACACCACACGGACAACAGTTACAGAAACACCTGAACGCACCACGAAGCAGGTCGAGGACAGAGCAGTTAGGGGTCAAACAGGCTGGACAATCTAACGGGCGGTTCTGATGGTACTCACCCGGGTGTCGGGACACTGGGTCGCCTCACAGACCACCTGCATGATGAAGTGTCTCTCTGTCTGAAAACAAACAGGTTCTCACTGAAGCATCCCGTTTCATCTGCAAAACTAAACTGGAACCAGAATCTGGATCGAGGGCTCGGACCCAGACGGTCCTGGTACCTCCTTGTCGAAGTTGGCTTTGGTGAACTCCAGCGAGTTGAGCAGAGCGTTGGTGGCGGCCAGCTTCACATTGTTGCTGGGCTCCTCCTTCCTCATGCCTTGGATGATGGCCGTCAGGATCTGGTTGGCGTTATCCTGCAGCTGCTCTGGATCCTGCAGAGACATCAGAGACCCAGCTGACCCAACAGAAACAAGGGTACCAGTAAGACTGGAACCAAGTTTATGACCTCAGCCTAGGGCTGGACGATATGGTCAAAACTTATCACGATATATTTCTTAATTTAGGTCGATAACGATATAATTCGATATTGATAAACAATATAAAAGCCTCAGAAAAATTGTACAAATAAATTAATGTTCACCTTTTATTTGTATTTAGCCTTCAAAGAAATTTTAAATCACAGTCAAACATAAAACTCTCAACTTTGTCAATATTAATAGTTTTAACTTCAAACAACAACATAACCTAACATTTGCTGCACGGGTTTCTCTTTGGATACAGCTGGGGGTGTTTGTTTCAGGGACACGGTGGCTCAAACTTTTATTGTTTCATCTTGTGACTCAGCATATTCTATCGAGTGGGACAAGTTAAATGTGTTCCCACCGCTAGTTGGAACGATTCTTTGGCACATTTTGCAGCACACTGAAACCTGCAGTTTATATCGGATCTTAGAGAGCCGAACCACTTCTGCACCGCCGAATTAGTCTTTCCTCTTTTATCAATTATGTCATCTGCTTTCTCTTCACTTGTGAAAGCTTGTTCAGTCGCATTCTGACGGTCATGGGCACTCATTTCGAAGTGAAAACTTGACGCGCATTGGAGATTAGCCTAGCCTGCTACCACTGACTCCTGGACTCGAGCTGTGTGTGTGTGGTGTAAGTCACCATGCACTTTGTGTATTGCGCCGTGGCTTTTTCTGTTCGGGTTGAAACGGCCGCCGGTTGAACCCGAACAGAAAAAGAAATGAGTCAGTGAAACGCTGTTATCATATTGAAAATGTGCTTAAAATTCATATCATCGTTATTGAATAAAACTATATCATGATATATATCGATATCAAATTAATGTCCAGCCCTACCTCAGCGCGTCACAAACGAGTTTCAAACATATGTAAAATATATTAAATATTCTGCTTCCTGATCACACTCCATAATGAGTTGAAGCCCCGCCCCCTCACTAGAATTTGTACGTTTACTCACTATGTCCTGGCAAATGTAGCCGATGGCCTCCAGCGTGGACTCCTTCATGTGTTCGGTGCTGGACGGGTCTGTGACGTTGGCCACCAGCTGTGGGATCAGCTCGGGCCACTGGTTTACGGGGATTTCGGCACAGGCGATGCCGGCGACACACTGCGAGGCCGAGCTAGGCCGGTACGTCTCTGTGCCTAGAGTCTGTAGAACCTGTGGACACGGACGGGTAGCGTTAGCTGGAGAACCTCTGTTGGACCCAGTGTGGATTAGCGAGAGGCTTACGTAGTTCTTGATCTCGCGGCGAGCGTTGCCGTCGATGGCCAGCCATCTCTGCTGATACTGTGTCTTGACGTCCGGATCTTTGGAGGTCAAGGAGTTCTTCACCTGCAGACCCGCGGCGACCCGGGCTACTTGAGTGTTTCCCGGGTTGGCCAACACTTTGGAGAGTTCCACCAGGAACGTGGGCTGGAAAAGGAGAAGACGAGAACTCTGAAGGGTTCTGCTGGCTGTGTTTGAGTTCACCCCAAAACACCCGGTTGTGAAGCTTTGGAACGGCAAAAATAAACAACTGCAGGTAAGAAGTTTGCTGGTTTTTATTGGTAAAACAGAAGCTGTTAGCATGTAGCTGATCAGAGCCGATGCTGTTAGCATGTAGCTGATCAGAGCCGATGCTGTTAGCATGTAGCATTTAGCTGATCAAAGACATTTTTCTGAAGATGCTCAATGTGTTTGGATTTTAAAGCTGCAGCTCATCTCTGGACCTGTTTGGGTTTACAAGAACTTACAGAACCCGACCCGTTTCTGCAGAGCAGGAATGAGATCCGTCTGGTGATCAGCACTTGAACGCACTGCGAGATGTTTACAGACCGTGTGTTTTATGACACCTGGTCAGGTCTGGAAACAGGTGAGATGTTCGGTCCCTGCAGTAGTTGTTGGACCTCTCACTGCGTCTCAACATTTCACCTTTAGGTGCTGCTGTTTATTATTTATGAAAGAAATCTGCTGCAACAATAAAACCGACCCGACTACCAACTGGACAGGAAACCGAAAGGATCAGCACCTCCTGGTCTGGATCAGCAGGATCCTTAAACCCAATTCATCCCCAGTTTTAACGATGAAATGATTGATTTGTAATAACAATCAAAGCAACAGATTCTAAAGATGAAAACATCTGCAGGAGTTTGTTCACAGAACTCTGCAGGAGACGCTCCCTGCTGGCTGCAAGAGGAAACTTCCTGTTCAGCTGATTAAAAGGATAGCTCTGCCCTCTAACATTCTGACTCGTTTGTGAACTTATTTTCTTTAGAAATATAAACATATAAACACAAACACCAACTCTCCTCCAACAGACAAGAGTTTCACCAAAACACGAAGCAGATATTTGTTTGTTTGCAGCCGAACATGGAAAACAGTTGACTTTAAAACAATCCGGGTCATTTAGACAGTGTTGGTTCCGATGTGTCAAAGAACCAGAGAACATCGTGGTGAGTTTAACGAGGTTCTGATTGTTACTAACTTTTATTTGCACAATTATTTTATGTGTCTTGGACGTTTGTTGTTTAGATTTTTATTTAAATGTCCTGTTCAGTCTGGTGGAAACATTTGAAGACAAAAATCTCCAGTTTCGGGTCTCGTTTGAGACGAGCACAGAAGCTCTTCTGTTGGCGCCGACCCCAGTCCAGAACTCCTGATCCGAAGTGGGGTTCTACCGATGCGCTTTAGGGTCACTTAAAAACTCATAACCAGTGTAGGGTCCAAACTGCTACAGACAGCAGAGTTTCAACATCCTGCTTTGGTGCAGGGATGAACCTTAATGTGGGTCGGCCCGGCAAACAGAACCGAACACACGGGTTGTTTAAACCCTGACCTGGTGGCTTCAGGACAGACTTCCTGCGCTGCAACTTGAGAAGTGCAGAAGAAACTAGAAGGATGCTGAAGCAGATGTTTGACTGTGGAGCTCATACCTAGTTCTGTTTGGACCTTAACCAGGACCGGTATTACTTTTGTTAGTATGCATATACAGTTCACTAACTGAGACAACGCAATGAATTTACTTCAGTTTAATCTACTAAATCAAAGTTTATTCTGAACTATATTAAACGGTGCCATTCACTCCGGTACTTTTTCAGCTACATCATTTCTAGAATGTTGGTCAGCACTTAATGTAAACAAATGTCGGTTGCATGAAACTAGGTGGAAGTCTGATGATAGGCCGTAGCCTGTAGGTAAACAAAGATGGTGGACTCAGACAGTTGTAGAATCTGATGAACATCATGTTTATCTCCAAGGAGCTCGCTCTCAACACGAGGAACCTCTCAGGGGTGTGCGTCAACTAGTGTTTGATCAGAACTTTGTTCTGGGTGAAAGCAGGTGCACTAGAACTGTAACGGTTTGCAAATGTTACAACAAGAACTCATGGAGGAGACAGGAGTCTCTTCATGGCTGTCCAGGAGAATGTCTAGCCCGGCAGCACAGGGACGTTACCTTCGCTTGTTCTTGTGCCGTATATTAGAAATGGTGGTGGTTTCTTTGAGAGAAACTTGCATAAGGCAAACAGCATTTACTGTCCCGGACTGAAGTGTTTGGTTAAGGATAGGGTTGCAAAAGTCTCTCCGGAGACAAGTGGAGGCGCTGTGTGACCCCATCAGTCAGCTGGGCTCCTCCATGTGTTGCAGGAGGGGAGCAGAGGCTGGAGGTAGCAGGGAGGAGACAGGCTGCAGCTCAGCCGGCCTCCCCCTCCTCTCCAGCGGCCTGATACTCACCAGGTTCTCTATCGCAGCCTGCTCCAGAAACTTCTGCGCCGCCTCCAGCTCATTGCGATCTGAGGAGAGACCAGAATTAACACGGGATAAGAACCGGTCTAAACAACGCGCTGTCAATAATCCCGTGTAATAATGTGATATCAGATCCACGCAGTCACATTTCCTCCATCATGCTAACAGCCCGCCGAGGCTGCAGCATGCGTGTTAGCTGCTAACGCTAACGGCACCAGAGGAGTACCTTATAGAAACAGACGTGAACTCAACCCGGTCCAAACAGCACGAATTTTCCCACAAGATGCAGATCAGAGGCGTCCTTACTGTGAACGGACTCGTGTCCTGGCAGCGGCCCGGAATCAGACAGGAAGTGACCGACGTTCGGAACGAGAACCGCTAACAGGCTAACGGAGTGGCTCCACCGGCTATGGGCAGGGTCGGTCCCGGGTTCAGCGACCTACAGCGCCCGTATCCCCCGCCCCAGAGTCCAAAACACGCCGTTAGGATGAGACAGCGTGTTCGGGGACAATCAGGGCAGGCGACTTGGGTAACTTGGCCGTGAAACTGCGACTGAACTCCCGGTAGAGTGCGAAGTCACTCACAGTCAGGCCCGAATGTTAGCTGTTAGCATCTCCCTCCGCCCGGCCATAAACTCCCCTCAGTTCCCCGGAGCGGCTCAACACCACACCGAAAACACACCCCGGACCCGGACCGAGGTGCGCGTGTCCACCCCGGGTCTCACCTGGAGAAACAGTTTTTTCCAAAATAGTGATGAGCTCCATTTCGAGTGCCGGCTGCCGCTCGCTCCGCTCGGGTCAGGTTCAGCGCCCTCGGCGGGTTGGATTTCCTCCACGGAGCTCAGTTAGTACCGGCCGCAGGTGGAGTTCGGTCGGTGCTGCGGCGGAGGTTTCTCCCGTGCTCGCTAGGCGGGTTTCCTTCGGATGGAGCGGGAAATGTTAACGGCCGTCTCGCACGAAGAAACGTCTTCAGTTTCACCGCATCGCGAGGGAAAGGACCGCGCGCTTCTCTACTGCGGAGGGATATCACGCTCTGACGCACGCACAGCGTCAGTGCCGCCGCCTTCTCTTTTCTTCTTCGTTCAAAGGTGGTCGGAGTCCGCCATGTTGGACAACAGCGCCCCCTGCTGGTCAAGATGGGTAATACTCAGATCAAGTTCAGTCTAACGCGGTTCTTTCACACGGTTTAATAAAATGTTTATTTTAATTAAAAATGCTTAAAAAAAATTTTTTTAAAACCCACACACACCAGAACTGGCGTGTTTAGGGTTTGTTAGACATCTGAAGCTAAAAAGCAGCGTCACATTTAGCTAGGGGATCAAGAAGTGTTTTTTTTTTTTTTTTAACAGGGAGCTTTTTATCTACTGTATATTTAGAAATAAATTTGATTTAATTTCAGTTGACATGCTGGTCAGTAACTTGAATGGTTCTGTGACTCTACATAGCTTTATTTTGTAAGTTCACCTGAAAGAAAACCGCTTAGCCTCTAAAATCATACAGACTGTCTCAAATCTGACTCCAGAACTTGGTCTCCAAAGGAGTTAAGGTCCACTCAGAGACTGACAGGAGCCCAAACTTCACCATGCTCACAGCTGAGAGGAGCTTTTTGCTGCAGTGCATCCTGGGTAAACACCTGTCCTCTGCTCTGGTTCTGGTCCAGAAGTCTTGTGGTTTCTTCAGAGGAAACAATCGAAGTTGAGCTGCCATGTTTTTCAAGGATCCAAGGATTTTTTTATTGTCATACCAGCTCACATTTGCATGTTTCTGGTACAAAATTTGGACTCAGATCCCAGATTAAGAAGCCTAAAAATTAACAAATAAATTAATACAAGAATATAAATATATATAATAAATACAATTTTAAAAAGTAAGATGAAGCTGAATTAAGTGCAGCTCAAGTTCAGCAGTCTGACAGCTGCAGGGGAGAACCGTTTCTGAGCCTGGTGGTCTTGCTATGAATGCTTCTCAGCCGCCTGCTTGAGGGGAGGGGCTGGAACAGACTGTGTGCAGGATGAGTGGAGTCCTTCATGATGTGGAGCGAGGTGGTGAAAGGCTGCTCCCCACAGTCTTCTGTGCAGCCTTAACCACCCTCTGCAGAGCCGTCCTCTCAGCAGCAGTTCAGCTGCCGTGCCACATGGTGATGCAGGAGCAGAGAATGCTCTCCACCACTGCTCCTCTGAAAGTTAGGGACACTGTGTTCAGGACAGGTGAGGTATCAGCACTCCGAGAGGCGAGGAAAAGACTGACTGCAGGCATTGCAAGGGCCAAAGCCACATACTCCCAGAAAATTCAGGGTCACTTTATGAACCCTGGCGTATGTGGAAGGACATCGCATGCATTACGAACTACAACATCAGGGATGCACAATGTCCAAGGGACCCCACATTGCCAGATACACTCAGTAAGTTCTATGTTCACTTTGAGGATCCTAACACCACCCCCCAGCACTAGACTTATACCACCACCTGCTAACATGCCCCTCTGTGTGACCACAGAAGATGTGAGGAAGACCCTCCAGGGAATCAACCCCCGTAAGGCTGCAGACCCCGACAACATCCCAGGGCGGGTACTGAAAGACTGCACACACCAGCTGTCTTAGGTGATGGCAGACATCTTCAACACTTCACTGTCAATGGCATTTGTCCCCACCTGCTTTAAGTCCACCACTATTGTCCCTGACTCCAAGTGCTCCACAGTGGCAGGCCTGAATGACTACCGACCTATAGCCTTAACATCAGTAGTTATGAAGTGCTTCGAGAGGTTTGTCATGACCCACATCAAGAACTCCGTCGACGTCACTGTGGACCCACATCAGTACGCCTACAGAAGGAACTGCTCCACTGCTGATGCCCTCTCATCGGTGGTCTACACAGCCCTCACCCACCTAGAGAGCAGAAATTCTTCCATCCGTCTGCTCTGTCTGGATTTCTCCTCGGCCTTCAACACCATCATCCCACAGACCCTGGTGCAGAAGCTCTCCTTTCCTGGACTGAGTCCCACACTGGGGAACTGGATTCTGGACTTCCTGACCAACAGACCTCAGACTGTCAGGATCCACAACATCATCTCCTCCTCCATGACCCTCGAACCATCCCAGGGCTGCGTTCTGAGCCCCCTCCTGTTCACTCTGCTGACATATGACCGCTCGGCTATACACCGCAGCTGCCATATAGTGAAGTTTATGGATGACACAACAGTAGTGGGACGCATCACGAACAATGATGAGTCCAAATACAGAAAGGAGGTTGAACACCTGGTGCAGTGGTGCAGAGGCAATAATCTCTGCATCAATGTGAAGAAGACCAAGGAGATGGTGGTGGATTTTAGAAGAGACAAGGGTCCTCTTCATCCCCTACACTTCAGCAGAGCTCTCACCTCAGCATTCAACCAGGGTTTCTGATTCGAATAACAGGTTACTGTCCTGGTGGTGATGACATCATCAGTGCACTTGGAGATGAATCCAAGAACAGAGGAGGTGTATTCCTCCGGGTCCACCTCTCCCTCCTATGTAGCTGCCTCTCTGAAGACCTGCCAATCTGTGCACTGAAAATAGTCATGGAGCACAGAGTCTACATCACTGGGACACACAGTTACCGTCTTCTTTGTTGGCCTAATCCGTCTCATCAGTGGACGATATGCTAGCGCCAGCAGGATTGAGATGTGGTCAGCGAGGCCAAGATGGGAGCGAGGAAGAGCTCTGTACGCACCGTGAATGTTAGTGTACACACAGTCCAGAGTGTTGTCTCCCCACGTTGGAAAAGTGACATGCTGGGCAGAGTGTCAGTTTCACGTGGTTAAAGTTCCCCACAACCACGCAAAACACCTCCGGGTGCTTTATCTGCAGTGAGCTAATGGTGTCAGACAGCTCCTTTGATGCTTCGTTAGCATTAGCACCTGGTGGGATGTAAACAGTGGTGACGAACACTGCAGTAAACTCCTGTGGCAGATAGTACAGCCGACATTTCAGTCATAAGTTCTATCACCTCAGAGCAGTAGCTTTTTACCAGTCTACAGTTCATACACCGATCTTCTATCACGAACAAACATAGTCCTCTCCCCCCTGTTTTACCTGACTGATGGTCACGGTCCGCTCAGAATAACTGAAGACTGTTGATATGGAAAGATGAATCAGACATGTTGTTAAGCCAGGTTTCTGTTAGGCAAAGAACAGCACAGTTCTTCATCTC